CAAGTCAGTCAAGATCCACCCATTTTTTCGAAAATGATAATCCAAATCAGCTTTTCTAGCAGGCTGAAGTTGGTAAGGTCTAACGGATCATCCCATCCGTGAACAACTCTATTTTATTTTTATTATCACTTTCGTTTAAGCATTGAATAGTTGGTCAATTATTAGCCCCGTGTTTATAAATCATGCCCATCTCGATCACAATTCACAATCACAAGTACTAAACAAATATCAAATTACACATTTTGTTTATAACTCATGAAAAAATATTATTTTAGTCAAACCCCTTTAAATTGGTCAAACTAATATATTTCAAGTCCGTTTAATCAGTCTAGATAAAACCAATAAACAGGTTAATTCGGTTTATAAATTGTCAATCCAGACTTACTGATATGAGTAACGTACTTAGATTTAAAACCAATTAATCTGGTTGGCTAAATCAAGCTTAATCAACCCTCAGATATTTTTTTGTAATACTATGCGTCAAATCAAATGTTATAATTCATTATACGTAAAATAAGGTACTTAATGAGCACATATTTCATTTTCAGATACATAATTTAAATCATTGTGTGGTGGACTTTACCACTATTAACGTTTGCTAACATGTCCACCATTTATGTAATTTCACATTTAATATTAACATATCAAGCACAAAACTCGTAACAAGTAGGTATGAATTTTACATACTAACAAAGCAGGAACGTGGTTTATTGGGATGAAAACACGAAAGGGAAGAGTAACTGATAATGCTCGTTGATGGTGAATTTATATAAAGGCGGTATTTGATTAGTAATTAGACATTTTAAATATATAAACTTGAAAACAATTAAATTAATCAAACTACGATCATAATTAGTACAAGTATGAACGAAAAAAAACCATCATCCTTTTCAAAGTGCATTGAAGTTTGTTTTAAATTTTTATTACGCGTAACAGTCTTGATCAAATTTTCATATTTTGACGGATAACAAATTAGAAAATTGTAACTGTTGACGATGTATATAGTTATCTTGTATATATCATAAAATGTCATATCAAAATCAAATGATATCACTTATGTCAAAAGCTCGTTTATTGGATAAAATAGGTACAAAATATGAATAATGGAACGTTTATTACACTGATTATAAACAATAATTTGTCGTTGCATTGGATATGAAGTAAACAAACTGTAATATGTTCTGATAGTCTACACATTTTGCTCGTATTTGTCAACATAAAAATTAATAAGTAGATTACAAAAATCATCCATGTGGTTTGGAGAAAATCTAATTTTCATCCCTTGAGTTCAATCATCAACCGATAACCATGTTGTTTGCATTTCGTTACGAATTTTATCCTTGGCTGTTAGCGTGCATTTGGTATGCAGACTGGGCGGGATGGGACGGAACAAAAATAAATAGTCCCATGTTTGGTGTGTGATGTATGTTCAGAATTCAACATATAAAGCACTCGTTTTACGTTTTATTAGTTAAATTAGTTTCATTTCATTCCCATATCGAGACATTTTTATTAGTTTTTTTTATACCTTTGTTATTATGGAGCTAAATATTGTGGTTGACTTGTTGGTACTAAAGAAAGAAGCTAATGGAGAGTTTTTGTTAAAACAGCAGGATGCTATAGCATTGGAGCAGCAGCGATCTGATTCATGCGCAGCTTTTTGGAGGACTTATTGATTAAGCCGCTGCTTTTTTGTACTTTGTGGAAGACAGCTGTAGAGGTTGGCTTTTTGTTTAAAATATGTGGTTAAGACTCTTGTTAGGTTATTGTACTTTTTAGTTACTCTAATTGTACTTTGTAACTTGTTTTAGATACTTAGCCCTTAAGGTTTGTATCTTTTGTCTTTTAGTGCCTCATTTGGATATAAAAGTAGGGCTTGGGTTTCACTTTTGGACATTCTAACAACATCTAGCTTTAAAAATCAACCCTCTCCAAAGGTGATTTGAAGTAACTTTTGAAGAAATGCAAGTTCTTAATTTTTAGCTTTTCATCTTTAATTTCTTGTCTTTTAATTTCCGCTCTTTATTTTTACGTTCCTTTACGCTTATTGTCATTTACTTTCCGTTATTTAATTTTCGTAATTTACATTCTCGTCATTTATTTTCCGCAATTTACATTTATGTCTTTACTTTCCGTCATTTATTTTAATTGTAATTTACTTTCCATTATGAGTAGCTAAGTTTATATAGCTTGGGTGTGAGACAGAAGGGTGAGATTTTCAAACCAAAAGAAAGTAGCTAAGTGTTTTCATAAACGACGTTCTATTGTTTCATTCGAGTTTTTATAAAACCAAGTACACTTCTTGACGGGTTGATCACTTTGAAAGTGTTAAAGTGTCATGGACTTAGAGATAAGCCATTGAATGCACGTCAACTTGAATGATATAAGAGGTAGACTTGAGAAAGTTGCCGACAAGGAAACTTGTCATTTATGTCTTTCAAACATAACTCCCGACGGGTTGGTCACTATTCGAAAGTGTCAAAATGAGATAGATTCAGAGATGAAGTATCTAGAACACACGCCAACTCGAATGATATGGGAATCGACTCGAGAGAGTGATTTTTTACAAAGAGATTTATTTATCCATATATTTTGAAAACACCATCTTGTCATTATCCCTGGTCCGGACACCACATAGATATATGAGTGGAAAGCTATAATATAGTGCAATGGTGAAGTCCGAGAGGAATACCTTCAAAATAGATGGTGGAACTAAGTTTTGAAACACTTCTTGTTGTAGCATTTCTATAGCATTGGCTACTGGAATTTGTGTTTGGGTCTCACCACAAGTCTTACACCCTTGCTATCTTTTTATATTATGTAATCTGTTTTAAATCACCTTAACATCAAACTGAAGTTTTCAAAATCGTCATCTGAAATCATCTCTTTCATTTGACTCTCATTTAATTTTCGCTACAATCTCCATGGACGATATTCCGGTACTTGTACCACTTTATTACTTGGAAAGACGACATTGGACCATATTGTATACTTGCTTTGTGGTTCATTTCAGTAGTCTAAAGGTGTGAGATATAACCGATCACTGTGCCATGAGACAAAAATGAGATGGGACAACATGGGTCAAAAATAAGATTGGATGAGATTATTCTTGAGTTTTTTTGTTACATTAAAAAAGGTAGAACAACATGTGACTAAACTTGAGATTACAATATTGTCCTTATTATTTGATATAAAAATACAAACATAATTTATTTGCATCCTCTTTCTTCTTTTCCACAATCTTCATTCTCGATTCCAACCTTCATTCTTTAAATGTTAAAATTTGGACGATGGGGTGACAAATGTTATTTACAATTGTTGTGTTTAAACTTTTTAAATTATGTGCGTATTTAGAATTATTGTGGTATAAAAAATGTTATTTACGTATGGTATTGGAATGTTAAAAAAAATATTGATATCATAGATTGAATAACTTAAATATATTTTTGGTTGATTTGTTGTAATTTACAATCATTTTATGATATAAAATAACATTGAACACCATTTGGGGGTAATATGGTCATTTTAACAATTTTATCCTAACTTGTCATGTCCTAGTCGTACCAAACATAGGACAGACAATTAGTCTTGTCCTGTCCTGTTAGTCCCGTCTCGTCCCATCCTGTATAGTCTCATCCAGTCTGCGTACCAAATACTACCTTAGGAACACTAGGACGAATCATTAAGTACCATTGTGTGCAAGTAACATGAAGATATTTTGATCATTTTCATGTTTTTATAAATAAAATATTACGGTACAGATGTATAAATCATGTGGAAAACATTTAAAAAAAAAGTCTCCCTCAACTTTATCATCCTCCAATTGTTGCACCTCAACCACCACCCATCACAATGTCCCCTTGTGCATCTTCATGTGCAATGTCCAATCCCATTGTCCATCCACATATTTTTCGTGGTCCTCTATCTCTTTCATTCTCGCCCCTATACGATTACGATCCTCTCTCTCCTCCTTCTCGCTATCCATATCTTCTTCTTGTACTGCCTTCTCACGACTCACGATTACAGGAGAGATGGATACAGAAATGGAACAAATACAGAAGCACAAGTAAATTATCCTCTTTGAAACCAAAACAAAAAGCATGGCGTTGTAGTGGTGTTGAACAATGGTGACATTTTTATGATTTGTTTGTTTGAATACTTTAATGTACAACTACAGTCGCTTTATTTTATAGGTCTGCCTTCGTGATGCTGCCACAGTCGTATGTTTGTCTTTGTGATATTGATGATTGAATGCTTAAGTGTAGGCCTACAAATGTGAAGCGTGCTCCCCAAATTGGAGACATCCATGAAAAACAGCGGGAGGAAAATACGCGGTGGAGAGGGACAACTAAGAACGTGGAGGTTGCCAATAAACATAAATACCAACAGAGGGGGTTAGTTTAGGATTTAGTCCTTTTTTAATGAATTGCAGCTTCAAAACCTTATATTCTATTTTACTTGATAAAAAATGTCGACAAGACCAAAATGCCCTTCGTATGTAAAAGCACTTAACAAACGATATTATCAGATATGAAAACATTATCATAATAGAAACTAGAATAAACAACAAATCTGGTCCTTGTGGTCTGTCAAAAATAACACTGTTCGTTCCTGTAGTTTCGAAATTACAAGATGACTATCGTTGTTTGTAAAAATGTCTAGACTTGATCCATTTTTTTAACGGATGTTAAAGAATTCCGTTAAACGAAATACATTTTCGTTCTTTTATTGATCTTTTGCCTCTTATCCAATCAAAATCGATTTAATATTTTTTATAAAATTTTGAAATTTACTCAAAATTAAAAATAACCGTGACTCACCACCTACACGTAGTAGGCGGATTAAATAAAGTAAAAGGTGTGATGTGTCACAATGATACACGCGTCAATGCATAAAATTGGTGGGGGTACGTATGGTGAGGTTGAGTGAGTCAAGTCCATTTTGGAAACAGACAACATGGATACAGATAAAATACACACCATTTTTCCTTTCTATAACTAGTTCTTTTCTAGATTTACACCCTCAAAACTCTCGCATTTCTTTGCCCAATTCTAGGGTTTTTTTTTTCTTTTTATAATTCACTTTTGTCGATCTCCTCTGCCGGTAAGTCACTCTACACCCTACTTACTCATTCATTATTCCCAAATCTATATTTTAATTCTATATCTATTCCATGTTTATGCATGTTGAATTCTTCGATTCTTTATCCATTCCTTTTTGGGATACTTTGTTTGCATGTTATTGTTGATTACTTGTCTAATGGAATTGGATTTGGATGTATGCTGTTTTAGTTCCTGTTTTGGATTGTAATTTGGAAGTTTCTAGATTGGATTTCTTTACCCTGATAATTAGTGTTTTTAAATACTGTCCCGTATTCATTGCCCCCATTTGATAAAAGGCCAGTTGATCATCTTATTAAGTAATTTGACTTGGGTATGTCTTAAAGGTGGAATAATCACGCCTCTTTGTGCATCGACCAAGGATTCATAATGATTTCCGCTAAACATGAGGGTAGTACGGTTTATTTCTTTGGTTATTGATACAATTGGATGCATGATGTGTTCCCTTTTCAAACTTGGGGTACTAAATTTTTATAATTTTGAGAAATTTGAAGTAGTATGGGGTGGTACGGTTTATTTATGTGGTTATAGATGCAATTGGATGCATGAGGTGTTCCCCTTTCATACTTGGGGTCCTAATTTTTTAAATAATTTTGAGAAATCTGAGTAAGTATGGTGTGGTAAAAATGATTAACCGTCATTGTACTCAATTGGGTGCTTGATGTATTGAGTATTAGAATTTGGGTGTGCTAACTAATTATCGATTACTTTCTCAAACAAGTTTTTACCTTACTCTCAAACCCAGTCTCTTGAAGCATTCATTTGTTCTTTTCCCTGGGAGAGACTTTGGTGTGTATCATAAGCTTTTATCTTGACACCTCCATGCATGAGAATATTATGAGGATGGTCTTATCATCAATTGCCTACCTCACTCTCGGCTTGTCCAGTCCCGTCCACATACCAAACACACCCTAATTGAATTGGTATATTTTCCATTAGAAGTGGAATGACTTATGGGTTTTGTGGTTGCATCTTCTAACATTTGTTATGTGTCCCCTTATATGGATAGAAAAATGCATGCTAGTGCTGATGAATGTGTGTATACCTTCTGAATACGTGCACTGCTTTTCTTGAATTCTTTTTGTGCTACTATCGTGATGCTTGGGTGTATTAACAACCAAAAGAAAATCCAATGGAATTCTGTGCTAAATCAAGATGGAACTTCTGTTTCAATTGAAGTTTGTTAATTTTTATCTCACAATTGTAGTTTTAAGTGATCAAGTGGGAGACCTTTGGGAATGGAACTCTGTCTACATAAATTTTTGACCGGAATTAAAAGCTGGAACTCTGAAAGCAGTTGATTCTATGCATACTTGTACTGCACTTTATCTGTTAAATGTTGCTTTAAACCATATTTGATGATTGGAAGGTTGTTATTTCTCTGGTTATTTAGGAACTTGAAGTGGGATCTTTTTTATTATCTATATTCCTTTTGTCATCAATCCCATTGAATTTGTATGTCACCATGGGATAAAGGGAAAATAGTATGGAAGCTGACCAACATCTTCTACTGCAGGTTCACCGTGCTGGCACAGTATTGCATCAACTCCATGTCCTCCACTGCCATGCAAGCGAATTCAGCTGATTCATCTTCACCTGAACAATCATTAGATAGGGACTCACAGTCTGATGAAGTTTTAAGTGAGGAAGAAGATGATGTTAGCAAAGAAACACATGATGTGCCATACTTTCCTTCAGGTGCTTTCCAAATTACTCTGCTAATCATTATTCACAGTAGTGCATCTCATGTTTCTGTAACGCCTAACGAAACTAGGGTTGCAACACAGCTTTACAATTTAGCTTTCATGTACTATGTTAACCTACTGTGGTCCATCTGGTTAACTTCTATTACATAAATCATGTTGTGTTTGAATTTGTAATAATATGAAACGGGGTGTTCTTCACTTGCTCTACCTCTTTCATGCATTTTCAGGAAATACAGTATGGCAAGACTTCGAGGGGTCATGTACGTCTGCTTAATTAAATTATTTTACCTCATATCTAGGTCCAACATGGGCATACGGATGTGTAAGTGTGCAGATATATCCATTTCATGAAGCCTTATATGGAAGGATAGGTTGGCACTATTAACTTTCTCTGATGATGGTAACCTTAGCCAACTCTTTGGTTGAAGAGTGTTCATCTAGCTTAACACATGGTGTTTAAGGAAATGGCTTTGATGTTCTGTTATTCAAATTGGGTTTGACCAAAAGTCGCAAGTCATAATCTTAATTATCGTTGCTTGAACATAAACATGAACTTTTCTTCATTATTACTTTTTGCAAACTATAAACCTTTTCTTTTCTGTTGTTGGTTCATTTGTCTTGGCCTATTCTTGACCGCTAGCTTGAATGACTTCATGTTTTATATCATGGTTATATTTAGAAGCTACGTGTGGCAGACTTTTATTAATGGTACCGATGCTGCATTAAGATTTTTGCCAGATACCAAAAGCCTCTGGAATGGTTTGGCATATCAGAACTCATATATTTAATTTGGAGTTTGAGGTCATCTTTACCAAATCCATTTATTTTTTTACCTTTGGTAATGCAGCCTTCATCACCATCACTCATTATACTCTCTGGACTTGGTTTAATTTTTTTTATGTTGCACTCACTAGTTATGAACCTTTGTTTGTGGTGTGTTGACCATTATTTCTTTTTTCTTATCGAACCTCAGAAACAGCTTTCTGAAGCCTTTTCAGGTTATCTTGTTTCATGCAAAAATGTACATCTTTTATACCAATTCAAAGGAAGACGAGGGATCATATGAGAATAGCAGTCAAGGTGAGGAGTGTAAGAAGGGATTTGGACCCTTGCTCACTTTTAATCTCAAACCAACCCATGAATTGCGCTTTAGAAGGCAATTGATCCGGTGCTTCTCATTAGGTTGATCTAGTGGAACTCCTCAATTAGGATTAATCCAAGGGTGGAGATTCCTTCTTACCCTTCTCACTATAACTCTCAGTCTCACTGCAATCCAAGCCTGTATAGACGAAGGATTGTGTGAGAATAGGAGTTGAGGTGAGAAGTGTAAGAAGGGATTTGGATCCTTGATCACTTTTAATTAGTGTTGATCTAATGGCTCAGATTAAGTCCCAAATAACCCGTGAATTAGCTTGGGAGGGTATTTTCAATTAATCTTCGATTAGGGTTGATCCAAGGGTGGAGATCCCTTCTTACCCCTCTCATGATAACGACTATTTTTACTAGAAACCAACCTACACACACACACACACATATATATATATATATATATATATATTCCAATAGATTACTTATGCATATGATGCATAACTCAGTGGTGATGGTAGTAGTAGTAACGAGTCAAGGGTTTGGAACAGAACAATACATGCTGTGCATGTCCTTTTATGTTTAAATTGACTTGTTAAACGACTTACCCTTTATGTACTTATGCTCAGGAGTGATATATTGTCTACACCAGTTCTTTATCCTTATATTTGTTATAGTAAGTCCTTTATCAGGATATTGATTTGAGTTCACTTTGAATCATGTTTATTCATATCTGAATATTGATGATAAATTTCACCCCTCAGTCTCAGATAGTTATGGACAAGGACAACAGAATTTTCAGCATGGAGCACCAAACATACTTCCCAGGAATGAAGAAACCGTCGCACAGGCACCACAACCTGAACTCGTTGGCCACTCGGTTGTAAGTTTCTCGAAGTTCGTCTTCAGAGTCTTACCTTGATATCGGGGTGCCAGTTCCTGAGCTTTTTGTTATCTTCTACAGGCTTGTGCTTCAAATCCCTATTACGATCCCTATTATGGTGGGATGATGGCAGCTTATAGTCAGCATTTGGTAAGAATTGTTGTATAAAATATCTTTTTTTAATATATAATATTATAGAGGGAGGTTCAGAGGAAAACCCCCCCAAAAAATGAAAAACTGGGGAACACTCTCGCGACCTTTCATTTGTACAATATGCATATGTGCATACATCTAATTGAAGTTTGAACCCTTGACCTTCTGGGAGACTGGGTCTTACGGGTAACTCGAGCACCACTGGGCCAATGACCCTGTGGTTTGTATAAAATATCTTAATGAACATTGAACTCATATCGTCATTTTGGATTTGTAGTTGATCTTATTGCTTGCTTGATACATAGTTTTTACTTCTATGTGTTATATATGGTTTAACTTTGTTGTGTTGGGGGTACTTGCTAGTGTGTTACTAGGAGTCCATGCACTTAAGATGTATGTAAAACAGTAGAGCAATATAGTTCAGCCAATGGGTCATCTTTATTACGGTGACCTAATATCCGATACTTTTTTTTTCAAATGGTTTCACCGACCGACGATCGTGTTTGCCAGGTTCATCCACAGTTTCTTGATATGCACCAAGTGAGGATGCCATTGCCTCTTGAAATGGCACAAGAGCCTGTTTATGTGAATGCCAAACAATATCATGCCATATTGCGGCGGAGACAGTCACGTGCCAAAGCAGAGCTTGAAAAGAAGCTTATAAAAGACAGAAAGGTTGGCACTCGATGCAATTATTACTCTCTCTGTCCCAAAATAACTGGTCACATTTCTATTTTAATTTGTCCCAAAATAATTGTCCACTTTCAAAAGTAAATCTCTACTTTGCAATTCTATGTCTTTAACCGTTAGAGGGAGAAATTCATTACTCCCTCTACTAATTTATTTAATAAAAAAGTGTAATGGTTACACATTTCGAAAACCGTCTCTTTTTCATTGTGGATATTTATTTTGGGATAGAGGGAGAATGACAAGTCTTTTAGGGTGTGTTTGGTACGTGGGACAGTACAAGATAGGATATGACAAACACTTGGTCCCATGTTCGGTTCAAATTAAGAGTGGGCAGGGCAGGGCAGGGCTGCGTGGGACCCACCAAGATAGGTGGAAAAAGAATGAGGTATATGGGACAAGATTGATAAATTACTAATATATCCATGTCGAATTAAAACCCTAGAAATTTGCACAATTGTTTTACTCGTTTATATCACTCTTGCCTGTCCAATCTTGTTTGCCTACCAAACACTCCCTTATAGGATCGGGTTGGGATCTTGGAAAACGTATACCTATGTGTTGATTATTGCCACTGTACAGCCTTATCTTCATGAATCCCGACATCAGCATGCTATGAGAAGGGTAAGGAGTTCTGGTGGTCGTTTTGCAAAGAAGACTGAAACTAATGCCAGTGAGGACAAGAAAGCAACAGGGTCGGGTGCATCGGGCATGAAACGCATGCAGTCAGGTCAGTCTGGTGAGAGTTTCTCAGAAACAAGGGGAGGGGTGGTGAATTCTTGCAATGGTCGCACGTATGCAGTCGATGGAGGCGGCAGGTATGACAACCAAGATGGGTTTCAGGGATCATCTTATCATTCTGACATAGGGGAGGGAGGTTCTTTAGGTCAGCAGTGGGCAACCATGCCGGCTAACCAGGGTTCGCAGAGGGCTGTAGCCATGAAGTGAGAAGATGCTTCGTTGGCATGACCGGCAAATCATTCTTGGCTGTTTTATGGAAATGTGGAAGGGAGGGGAGGGTAAAGAAGGTACTCATTTTCGGATTCTTTTTTAGTGGTATGTACAAAGTATAATGGTGGTTTAGAAAGAAGAATGGTTAATTTGGAGCCAAGTTTAGAGGTTTGTTAGTCCATTAGAAGTTTAGAATCTCCATATTAATTTGGTGTTTATGCATGTTGATGTTGTTGCATGGTTCATTCATGTTTTCCTTGTGTGTGTTCTTTCAAAGTTTTGTAACAGTTCATGATCCATGCCTAAAAAGGGGTATTGATATATGCACCCCTATTCATGTCAGAATCAAGTCAAATCATATAATGAAAATGTAAAAAGTGAGTTTTGATGTTGATGTATGAGGGAAATTAATAGGTAGGGATGTATTTAGCCTACTCCTATTGTCGTTGGAACATATAAAAATGAACATCAAGTAAATTACACTTTCGTTCTAAGTCGTTGCCACTCACAATCAACTCTCGTTCCTAAATCAATCTGTAACCGACCTTTCAATAATAAATTTTAACAAATTTTTATAGTTAAACGATCACTAAAAGAATTACAAGAACTCCTCTTGAGGGTAGACTCGAATACATGAGGAGGCTGACGGTGGTAGTGGTAGCGATAGACGGTGCTGGCGGTTATGGAGGTGAAGTGGAAAAGGAGGTGGAGATGGTCGACGTGACTAGTGGTGGTGATCATTAAAACAAATATTATATTAAAGTTATATATATCAAACGAGAATAAATTCGTAATATTATAGTTTATCTCTCAATCTTGTCCTGTTCCGCCTATTTCGATAGAATAAGAAACAACCATTTTTGTCCTGCGCTAGCCACTTTGTCCCATTTTTTATTCCGTTCCATGTCCCATCAAACGTGAGACAGTGAGTTTTGTCTCGTCATGTCTCATGTACCAAGCAACCTAAGTATGCACTGATTGACAAAAATCTGAATCTATTTACAACCAGCAAATCAATAATAACTTTTTATAAAAACAGATTTTACTTCGTTTTTTATGGGTGTTTGGGATTGCTTATAAAAACAACTTATTGACTTATTCCTATATGACACCGGTAATAAACACTTTTGAGTGTTTGAATAAACAACTTATACCGGTGCCAAATTGGTAATAACGAGTTTTTAAAAAAATTAAAATATTATAACTTGTAATAAATTAATAAATAATTTTATAGAAAAATATAAGTTATTTCAAATAAACAATCTCAAAAGCTGGTAAAAAAAACAAAAGAACTTCTACGAACTCCTCGAGAGCAGAGTCGAATGCCATCCAAGTGAGAACAGTAGAATAAAAGGTGATGGTATTTTCATATAATTAGTGCCAAGTGTGCATTTAGATGAAACGGGTCATGTGTGTGTCTTATGCCAGCAATCTAGTACAAGATTTGCATGGCTGACACGTACCCCACCCCACCTCATCTACTTAAACTCCTTGAAGCTCAAAACCATTATGCTATACTCAAAAGGAGTTCATTCAGCCATGGCTAAATCCAAACAGTGGGTGTTTTTGCTACTAGCAGCGGTGGTTCTGGTTAATGGGTATGACGGAGAAGAAGGCAGAAGAGGGTGGGGAGGGCAGGATCAGGGAGGAAAAGGGTGGGAGTTTCCACCAGCAGCAGGTGGTCCTGCCGGTGGTGGTGGGTGGGGAGGGGGGGATCAGGGAGAAACAGGGTGGAAGTTTCCACCAGGTGAAGGTGGTCCTGGCGGTGGTGGAGGGAGTTGGGGGTTGCCGGAGAAGAATAGATACATATTGCAGGACTCTAAGCTTGTGGTGGCGACGGCTGCCGGCGGGATGAGGGTGGTGAAAGGTGCCGGTGGGTTATTCAAACAAAGTCCTATGCATATTGGGTTCATA